AGACGAATGAGTAAAAATATGTGCCCGAGGGACTGCCCACTCTACTGCGTTCTTCGCCTTCAACACTATCTTTCACCATGGTGTGCTGGAGATGACATAAATTTGGCTGAAGATTAGATAAATTGATTTTCTAGGCTTTCAGAGCGCTTGAAGGTTCACAAATGTTGAAAATGTTTTTGTTCTTTTGTGGGTAAAAGTTGCATTTATTTGAAGAGCAATCTTGTACAAAAGCCACAACTCTGTTTCTGTTTATTTTACAGTATTGTCTTCAGTATCTTAATTTTACACATAAATACATAGTCGTTCTGAGAACAGTACAGATTAAAATAACAACCCTTATGTTTTGATAAAATTAAAAATCGTTGAAACCAGTATCATAGATATCGGACGGCGCACGGGAATCTTCTCGCCCCAGCTGCCAGAGCCTGTCAAATGTTCTTCACTTGGGAACCGTCGCGGCGACCAGGAACTCACCGGCAGCGCCGCCGTCAGGCATCACGACCGCAAGCCCATCGCTGCCACCGTTCAGGATGCTGTACGACACGTGCAGGGGCTTGCTGTCCCTGAGCACCAGCTCCTCCAGACCAAGCTCCAGCCACTGGGCAACCTCAACCTTATATCCCGCGCGACCGCCGCCCCGCGGCTGCCCGTACGCCGCTGCGCACGTCTCGACGCTCACCCCTCCCTTGCCGTCGCTGTCGTTGAAGACGATGATCGAGAACTGCAGGGGCACCTTGCCCGCCGCGCCGAGCCGTTCCTATAGACGATCTTATCAATATTAATACTATCTTATCTATAGTCAGTCAAATTTAAGATACTAAAACATGATATTGTACTAGAATTGTATTTTTTCATGGACGAAGGGAGTATTAGGCATCAAGCGCTAGGATGGTACGAACTTAGAGCAAATCATTCATATTTACAATCGATGTTCGTCGTCCACAAAGAGTGTTGCAACAGTTAAGCAAAAGCATTTTACCACATCCAGCCTGGCACATAGTCTTTGGATCTAATTTACGTAGATAAAGTCGGTAGACATGATATATTATAGACACAGCTGATGGCGACGAGAAGGGTACAAAGTAGCGATTGCACAGGTTGAGTTTACCATCTGGGGCTCACAAAAGGAACAGGTTAAGCTCCACTTGGAAGTTAAAAAAAAGGATGTTCAAACAATCGTACAACATCACATGGCTATCACACTAGTACATGGATGCTTTCTACTAGCGGACATTTTAGCATTTTCACTAACGTGCGTTTCTTGCTTCAGCCAGTGCGAAAGACCGGTGAAAATCAAGATCTTCACTGGCGTCAATTAAATAACCACCTGTATAAAATCCGTTTACATTGGCGGCTGGCTTAAGTGAACCACTAGTATAAATCAATTAAACGGGCAGCGTGTTCAAGTGATCCACCAGTATAAATGTCCACTAGTATAAAAATATTTTTATAGACAGCTCCTATTTTTAATAGAGGCGGACGACTTAAGAAAACGCTTGTAACCTTCGCGGAGAGCATTATAGCTAATGAAACGTTGCTAGAAATCAATTTTTAGTGGAGGTTCTATTAAGTAAACCGTCACTGAAAATATACATATTTTCACTTTTTTAGGGACGGTCAGCTTAAAAGAACCACCCCTGAAAATAAGATTTTCAAGGACGGTTGCTTATGTCAACCGTCTCTGAAAATAGGTAATTTCTAGGGGCGGTATGTTAAGTCCACCGTTCCTAAAAATTGTTTTTCAATAGCGGTTGACTAAGTTAACCATCCTTAAAAAATAGTTGCAGCGCAAATAAATTCATATCTTTTTCAAAGGAAGTCGGATGAAGATAAAATTTATATCAAAATTATAGATCTCGACGAGATCTAAAACTTTGTAGGTGATAACTTTTTGTTTGAGATCATTTAGGATTCCAAATATATAAATTAAGTTCTTAGATTTTGAATTTTAAATATTTGAATTTTTCAAATGACAATGTTGGATTGAGACATGTTCTATATCGAACTTGTAGTGCTTTATACAAGCCGCTATCTTATGAAACCACCTGTGAAAATGGATTTCTAGAGACAGGTTTTGTAAAACAGTCTGTTAGTCTGTTTCTAGAGGCAGCTTAGTAGGGTAAACCGCCTATAAAATTATTTTTAAAATTCAAATGCTTCCCGCCCTATTACTAAACCTTATAACATCATAATCAATTATAACAACATACTCAAATATAAATCACGGGCAATTATTTTTTCATGCATGACAAAAAAAATTGTTACTTCATCTACCATAGTCATCGACCAAGTATGTGCATCAAGTATATATATATATATATATATATATATATATATATATATACATACATCAAAGTTTTCAACTCGATCATAAGTTCCATGAAATCACTAATACTCATCTTTGTTCAGTTCTAGCCTAGCAAAATTTACAAGATCCCGGTACTCTGGTTGTGCTAACTCAGAGGTAATATCATAATATTTCCCATCGAGGTGAATAATGTCGCACATGATGAACCAGCATATGTCCTAGCCTATGTTTCTGATGTTATCTTGAAGACAATTATGCGTTGGATGGCAACGATATACCTAAAAAGAAAGCTTATAGTAATCATATGTTTCCATTTGATGATTGGCTGCACCTTTGCTTCAACATGTTGGTGTACTCCAAATTTGATGATGCCTGATAGAAATGATCCTTTTGTTGTTCTGATGAGCTTCAAAGAACACTTCAACTTCCTTTCTTCATGGAAGTCATCATATCTATGTGCTGGTCTATTTGGACAGTGAGAAATGATGCCACTTTTAGCAACGTTCCACCTTCAGTGAACCGATGCAAGTCTATCTTCAAGCGTGAATTTTCTGTAGTTATTCTACGAGCAAAAGCAAACTTTCATCCTCATATTGATTTATGGCTCAAAACATTTGTGTAATATTTTTCATTTTCTTTGTATCTTTTTTGTTTCTTGAACCCTGTACTAAGCTTTTACTTTATTTTTAGTTTATTCAACTAGGGTGTCACACCCCTCCTGTTTTCTAAGAAAGAAGTAGCAGTCGTCTTGAAGGAGTGGCTAACCCTGCCGTAAAGCAGTGGCTCACCGCTCGGCCACTAGCCTCGCCAGGCACGGCGAGCGGCTGCCTCTGAGTTGCGGCACGTTGTTGCCCTCTCCAAGACGTGCGGCCGCGGCGTCCCCACCGCTCGTGCGGCCGATGTCTCCCTTCCGTGATGTGCAGCCACTGCTGCCGGCCCGCTGCCTACAAGCGCCGCCGGGCCACTTCCTTCGGTGAACAGCACACACCGACGAGCCTGCATTATGCCGAGTAGCAAGGAGATGTTGCATTTAAAGCACATGTTGTAATAGTATATTTTAATTGTTTCAAAGGTATGTTGCAAGTGTTTCATATGAATGCTGCTAAAATAGATCGCGATGTTGCACATGTTGCAATGGTTGTACACATATGTTGCAAGCGTCCGTTCCAAATGTTTCATCTGCTTTTTTAGACGTATGTTGCAAGTGGGCTTATATGGATGTTGCATATGTTTCACACATATGTTGCAAGAGTATGTTCGAAATGTTTCTGTTGTTTCAGTCTTATGTTGCAATAAGTGTTTTCATATTGCAAATTGTAAGTATTTTATCTGGATGTTGCATATGTTTCACACATATGTTGCAAGTGTATGATCCAAATGTTTCATCTGCTCCAGACATATGTTGCATTCAAGTGTTTCATATTTCAGAGGTATGTTCAAAGAGTCATAGGGGCATGGCCCGGGTGCCGAGGAAGGGGCACGGTGAGCCAGGGGGACACGGATGGGGCGCGCAGTGCGCCTGGGGTCCTATGGACGATGCATGCTCATCCTCATCCTGGCACCCTGGGTCCGGCCCGCACAGAGAGAGAGAGGAGGGGGTCAAGAGAAAGGAGTGGCGGGGCGAGACAGATAGGTGGAGGGTACGCGTGCGTGGCGGGACAAGGCAGATGGGAAAGGACTACAACGATACGGTGGGAGTGCGGCACGTTTCTGCTTGGCCGTTCGGTACCGTCTGATGAAATCCTATCCCATCGGACGTCCGGGCGCCAGTAGTTCCCTTTTTTATACCACCTGTACATGATCAAATGGGAAATCAAATCAAGTCGCAGCCATGGTATGGCTACCGCACTGCAGTATAAACAAGGCGAGAAGTTGAGTGCCTGAACTGCTCCAGCTTATACAATAGTATCATTTGCAAATTCATGCAGTTCCCTGTATTACTAAGAGCAAGATCTTGCTCTGGATAAGATCTTATATCATTCAGTAAGCAGTAGCTAATATCATAGTACCATATATCGGTTCCTTGAATCCAAAGCCTTTCTTGTACTAAATATTCAGAGCAATATCATTCAAATAAAAATAATGATAATCATTCCACACGGACGCCTGTGCGGAAGGACACGTCTCCCCCACTGGCTTAGTTCAACATTTAAAAAAAAAATCCTTGTATCCAATGTACCAATAACCAAGTTAGTGCTGGTAGCCAGTTGTACTGTGCTCATCAGACGTGTAAAGCACATAGATATCTAGGCTACAACTTGATTTCTTGGCTCGTTGTTGTGAGGTACGACGAGCATATAAGAAACGTTCTAAACATAAGATAACATCAGTTATCTTTAGACAGTCTGTTTTATATGTGAAAGCAGCTGTAAAGTTTGGCTTAATTAGAGCAGAGTCGTTTGTCTATATGCCTAACAGACTTCTGCTCGATCGAGGTTAGTTGAATTCCAGCGAGTTTTATGAGTGATAGATGACAACATAATTACAATAACACGTTTATTAATATAGACATGTTGCATATATTGCTGTAACAAAGAAGAAATTAAGATTAGGAAATTCTTAGCTAGAACTGAAACCCATGAATTCTTATTAACTCTCACCAACTCATCTTACAAGAGGTCACACAGAAATTTGACTAGAGCTGCTGCTTTATTAGCAAGCGACAAGGAGATATGTCTGTTTCAAGCTTAGCCTAAGGGAACGACTCGACCTCAGCACAAGTGAAGAAGATGCTGTAGCCGTTAGCTGCTTCTCTCTCCGCCACCAGCGCTTTCCTTGCCTCGCTCCTGGACCTCCTGCCCTCGGCCTCCATCGCCATGGTCAGCCTATACCTGTAGTCTAGAAAATAATACTCATTCCTGCACTCTTCCGTGCAGATCCCCATGATCCTGCATTCCAAAGAAAAAGAAAATTGAAACCGCCTCTGCCATGCCATTCATGATGTATTGCATATATTATGTGGTCCTGGACATGCCAAAGAACAAGCGGCAAGCTCAACCGATCGAGGCTTACATGTACATGTAGATGATGTGGCCATCCATGCGGCGGTCGCAGAGCTTGCATATGAGAGAATAATCGCCGACACAGAAAGAGGAACTGGTCATCATGCAGTATCAGTCGGTCTTCACCGCCAGGGTGATGCCAAGGGCACTGCGGCGAACGGGCTTGGCCACATGGAGGTGCGCCGACGCGGGCTCCACGAGGGCTGCCTGGAGACCAACACTGGTCTCTGGGTTGCAGGGGACCCTGGTCACGAATGGTGCTCCCGCAGAGCGCTTCTTGGTGGGGATGTGCAGGGCACCACCGGATGACATGCTTCCTGGCGTTGATACTGCTTGGGATGCACGTTTGTGCTCGATTGCACTGTGTGCTGGAGGGGGAGAAGAAGAGAAGTGCTCAACTGGTTGGAGGGTACACGGTGGAGCGATGAGGGGAGGTGTATATATGGTTGGTGTGAGACTATAGTGAAGGGGTTTCCTTGCTCTGAATTTTTGTCCTTTCGGGCTTATTTTTGTCCAAAGAATCTTTTCTGTTGGCACTGATGGCACCTTGGTGTAGCTAGACAAGTACCATGAGGGTACACAGGTTACCACTTACCAGTGCAGTGGCCACATGAAAACATCTTGGCCTAACTCCGATCCTATTATTTTTCGTTATGTTCAAGAATTTCAAGTTCAAAATTGAATTCTTTTGTTGATGACCATATGGGGACAGCATGTATCATACGGTATGTAGCAACACTTTATATATTATCAATGTTCTAAGGGTATGCACAAAGGATTGTGGAAACTGTCTACATAGCGCCACTTTTGCAAACATTATAGGACCCTCGTGAACAACAATCAATGAAGGAAGAGAGGACATTAGCGTCTTGTGAGGCAACGGCAACGGCACATGCTCCCCAGTCCCCGGCAAACGTGACATCAGGAGCAGCGTTGTACGGGTCCTCATCCACAGGAAATGCGACCACGGGATCTAGCTGCGCACGTGTGGGATGGTGCCAAAACACATCATGCCACCATATATTCCTCTCCAATCTATCAGTTCTCTCCTCCCCGACAAGTGGAGCGTGGCGGCGATGGAAGAGCACAAGGGCGCGGTGCCGGCAAGGAAGAGCAAGTGTGCGGTGCCAGCAAGGATGAGTAAGGTTGATGCGATGATGGCTGGTGGTGGCGGTATTGGCGTGGTGGCGGCAGTGGTGGCTGTATTTGGCGTTGCTGATTCGTCCCTATTTAACGACAACTGGTGCTGCACCGTCACCACGAACTCAACCATGTCAGAGGTGGCTTCGCCGGCGCCCCTCCCTACATGGAGGGATGCAGGTAGCAATCTAATTCAGTTACTTCTCAATTTGGGCGTTTGTCTGCTTGGGATCTTGCATGATAACACACTACGGTACTGTTCGCTTTTCTTATAATCCATACTTTTTAGGTTGTTTTTTTAGCCGAAACAGTGTTTTTCTCTCACAACAAATCAGTCGTAACAGTGTTTCGGTTGTTTTTTTCAGCGAAGTGAACGGAGCCTACTACTTGAAGCCCTCTAAATTAGTAACAAATTTATTGCTGTCCGTGCATCATTTAAGTTACGCACAGGCACAGTTGCAGGATTGATTCCCGTTATTGTACGTGGAGCAGAAACACTTCTATCGGGGTAACCCCATTTCCATTAACAACACAAATAGCCATTGTGGTGTTACAGAAATAGGTAGGCTCAGCATTTCCATTAACAACACAAATAGGCATTGTGGTGTTACAGAAATAGGTAGGCTCAGTAATAACCCCGGAATAAAAACAATCTAGCCTCTAATTACACCTGTCTCCGGAGAGAACTAGGGCCAAAACATACAGAGAAACATAGAGGGGGAACTCCGACTAGAGACCGATGAGAAAAAAAAAGAGTACGAACATTAACCAAACCAAAAGCAGTCCAGCAGATCACTCTTCCTGTGTTGCCTCATCCTGGTCTTCATCACCTTCTTCCAATTTAGTAATATGCATAGGAGAGCAGATGGGCTGACTGGAATTTCGTCACCAGTAACGCCACCTTGAACAAAATGCCTACATTCTTGATGATAGAGCTTCCTTTGAATCCTGCCTTATGAAGGCCTGCCCAATATATATTTCATATAAGAACATGCACCGCCAAGAATTGCACATGGATGTTTAATCAACTTCTTATCGAACTAGGCTCTATTTCAAGCCTTCCATATAGCCCAGTATATTTCTTCAAGCCCCAACGTAAAAACATCTTTACCCTTAGGTAGAATCCGAGCTACCCATCTCCAGTATTGGTTCAAGTAACATGGAATAATGTAGTTGTTAGACTATGTACTCACCGTAGATAGACTAGTTCTCAGCCATTGGCTCCTACATGTAATCCTATGACCGAGTTAGTGATCCCCTAGCATGTAGGCATGCAAGTGCTTCAGCACTCTATATGTACCGGCCAAGGGTCCCAATGCAATAGTATCCATCCATTCCTACCGGTGTTCACAATCTCACATGGCATCAGTTGCTTAGGTACATATCCCACCTATAGCCGCCTCAGCTTCCGCAACGCGCACCCCCGGGGAGAGATCGATCTCCTCCGGGGGCAGCGCCATCGTTTAGGGGCTTGATCCAATTGATCTGGGCAGCCATTGTCGTCGTCAAGCTGCAACCTATCGTGCCGGATCTCACCTGGGTGGCGCCATCCATTGGTTGGTCTGGTTGTGCCCCACTACCCCCATCAAGCCCTGCAGGCGTCGCACTTCGCCTTGTCCGCGTCCGCTTCTTCTCCTCCGCCGGCGTCGCCCGAACATCCCAGCAGAGCTGGCTGCCAACCGGCGCTACCGATGGCCGCGGCGCTGCGTGCTAGCGTGGGGCCGTGCCTCCACGCAGCCGCTTGCTGGCCTGGGGTCGTGCAGCCGCGCTGGACAGGGCCACACCCGCACCCAATGGTCCAACACAGGATATTGCTACTGCTGTATCTTTTTTATTTGCCCAATCACTGATCAGGGTTGAGTCGCCCACCGCCTGTCGACCTTGCGCGTACTACTTCAACATCGGCATCGACTTCACCGACTCTACATCTTCGACTATGCGGCTTGGCTGAGGCTTGCGACACTGTGGGGACACCTTTCTGCGTCACTTCTTGGTCATTCAGCCTGCACGTCTACATGGTCGGTTCGTCATCGCCACCATAGATCGGGACGCCTCCGCCGAATTCTTCCAACATCGCTGCACCCTGCGCATACTTGGTCTGTACAACCGATTATGCGCAGTCCACCTGGCTCCTGTGACGTCCACCACCGAGTTCTACGCGCATCTTCTTCGAGCAATAGGGCTGCTAGCTTGCTGCTGTGCCACCTCATTGGGCCACGTCACCGCCACCCGTGTCAGCTTTGCTATTGCATCTACATCGCCATCCCCTGTGCATTGATGACTGTGCTATGCTATGTTTGCCGCGCCATCTATTTGCACAAGGTCTTCATCCTACTGATCGTGTCGTCATCGGGTCATATGGGGTCAACCTACCTCACACCTTTATGGCTAGTGAAGACCAATTATGTCATTAAGCTTGATGCTTAGTGTGCCTCCTAGGACAAGTTGCCTAATACAGTTGCCCCAAATACCAGAGAAACCTTGAATTCTTAGGATCTGAAAGAGAAAAGGCCATTTAACCTTATCATATTGAAGGGACTGTGACGCCTAAGAGGGGGGTCAATTAGGAAACTTAAAACTCTATTTCTAAACTACGGCGTCTATTTTTCAACCTTAGCAAAACCTATGCAACAAAGTAAGCTATCTAGATGTGCAACTACAGTTTTGCTAGGTATGTTGTTATCTCTACCGCAAAAGAGTTATTCGACCTAGGTTCCAACCCTATCAACTAGCCTATCAACTAAGCTAGGAAAGATAAAGCACACAACCAAGGTAACAATGTAAATGTGAAGGCTTAATTGATAGAGATGCAAACTCCCGTCGATGATTCTGATATTTTTATGAAGGTATCCACAAGCGCACAAGCTTCCCCTAGTCCTCGTTGAAGCCCCTCACAAGGAAGTCCTTGCAAGGTCAAGCTCCTAGTCGAGTAACTCCACGAATAGCCCCTAGCCTTCCCCATGCCAAGTGGATCTTTGGTGTGCCCTCTAGCAAGCCTCTCCTGGATGCTTGTTGACATTTCTTAACATCACTTTTACTAAATTGTCATCCCTAGAAATGATGCCAGAAATACTTGTTGGTATTTATTAGTAACACTTGTAATTTAAGAAGAATATACATATTAAGGATTCTGCAAGCGCAAAGATAATATACCATTGTAGCATTTCACCCGGGAGTATACCAGATATCGTTATTTATATTTTACCACAGGGACGAGTGGTGGCTAGAGATATTGACAAATATGTATACTTATGATAAGATTATTAACTACACATTTGCCATAACAGGGGTAAGCCAGATGATATATAAATGATAAGTGTAAGGCATCAATAATAATCTAAAGATAGAAATAGATACTCATAAATGTAGTATAGCTAGGTAGGAGATTAGTTAAGAGAAAAGATTCCTAAGTCATTTCTTATTTACTAAGTCTTTTGTACACCCTACTATATATACTTTCATCTATAGCATAATTACTTCTGCATCTAGGGATAAGGAACATTACTAAGGAAGATCAAGAACAGAGCTTGATTCCCTTCGCAACTAGGTCCTACTTGTCCTACAAACGGGGAGTGGACTACAAAGGACTGAACGAGAGTGTCACACTCGCGATCTACCACATGGCCTAGAATGTAGGGTGCATCCGTAGGTAAACAATATTTAAGCACTATGTTTACATAATATCGACCACTTAACTCACTCGAGTACTGAGCTAAGCGCTTTGCGAACTTATGCATAAATTCATCATCAATCATAACTATATCAAGCATACTACTAGAGCAAACCAGGAACATAATAACTAGAAACATAGTATTGAAATAGCACAAAGTCATGAAATATAGAGGATACATTGGCTATACCAACCTCTAGATGATGAATCCAGAATCCTAAGCAATAGCCCAACTCTACTTGAATCTTGCTAGCTAGCCTATACTAGAACTTTGAGGAATTAGAGATCTATTCTATTCTCTCTGGAAACCCTAACTTCTGATCTGATATCTTGACTTATGCAGATGCCTCTCCCTCAGGGGGTGGGGGCTGATATATAAAGGGGGTAGCATCAATTCTGGATCCTCTGATCAAACCGACTTAGAAGAACGACATAGATACAATCCTTAAGGTGGTGGAGAACCGACATAGCGAGGAGGGACTGCCCTATGGGCCCCTTGGGC